ATGTATGGTGATTAACATAATAAAAAGAAAGTGTTCACATCTAGAAGGACTTTCTCCAGATTATGGGAGCAATGCACAAGTTTTGTTGGTGCGTTTATATTTTCCATACCAGTTATTCTCCCAGCAATCTCTTTCCTTAAAAACCATTAATCCTCCACAAGACGTAGACTATCCTTTGGATCTGGGTAAGGAGGAGGAGTGAACAACATCCAGTCACCCACAATATGATCTCCTCACTTCACTATGTGAAAGTGCCTAGCTGCTTCCTGAAGCAGACACTATACAGTACTTTTCCCAACATGCAAACCCCCCTGGAAACAAAGCCCTCCCCACACAAAACCTACAAAACAGAGTCCCAAGCAGAAATCCCAGATTGACCTTCTAGCACATTCTCAGAGTGTTTTACAGCTGGGAAATTCAGTCTGTACTGGCCTGAGCTCAAATACTGGCTCAGCTATTTGCTCTTTATTACACTGTAAACAAACTATTTTATATCAGATCTCTTCGCTTCCTCATTTCAAAACCCTCTCACTATCCTCCCCGACTCATCTTAGCTTCCTCATTTCAAAACTCTCTCACTATCCTCCCCGACTCTTTCCAGCACCGCTCCAGATTCCTCCCACCTAGCTCCTCCAGGACCCCACCCCTCTTCCCACCATCAGACACTCACATTCTCTGATCAGGACCCCCCAATGACTCTAGCCCATCCCTCTGGTCCACAACAGTCTCCCCCATTCTCTGACTCTCTCCAATTCCTTTCTAGGCTCATTCTTCCAATTCCTCACATCTCCCACATGCAGAATTCCTACTCAGCTTCACAGAATCCCCACCACCCAAGCCTTAGATTACTGATCATGTTTCTGGATTTTTGACCACCCAATCCTGAAATTTCAATTCCACTTACTGCAGATCCATGGCCTCGGATCTCCAGGTACAGGAGGCAGGGGTTTCGGGTACCCAGGCTCCTCTAGTCACAAACTTCCAATTCCCAGGTTCTGAGGATTCCAACTTCCAGGAATCAGCTGCAAAGTCCTCTTCATCCAGGGGAGTGCATGCTGTCTTCTCTGCCCTTAAAAGCCTCTGAAGTAGGGAGCCCAAGGGGCATGATGACCTCACTGTGTTCATTGTAGCATTGGAAGGCAGAAAAACACAAACCACTCAAGTGAACCATCAATAAGAAATGGCAAGATGAAAAGTTACTTTGGTTTTAAGGAATGCCAGTCCACAGACACAAAAACTGAAACACTTCTTCCTATGTTGACATGGAAAAATCTCCATGTACAAGTTGTTGGGTGTCCATAGCACAATACCATATAATTCTAAAATCTTAGATTTATTAACATTGTTATGTTTACACAGACATACTCTTATCTAACTTTTCATAATTAAGTTATAGATTCTATGTTTGGCAGAACAAATTATAATTTGTTGATAATAGAGAATACTTATTCAAGGGAGGTTAGGTCAAGGTGAGGATCAATCAGATATCTCTTGTGTTTGTGGTGTTATATTTCTACAACAAAATGTATTCATGTTTTTACTTGTTATCAAAAATAAACTTTTAAGTGTTTTAAATAAGGTACCCTCTCCTGGTAAAGGCAAGAATACCATTGCTAAAAAGCAAAGTATACAATGGAATATTACTCAGCCATCAGAAAGGATGAATACCTAAAATTTGCATCAACATGGATGGAACTGGAGAAGATTATGCTAAGTGAAATAAGTCAAGCAGAGAAAGACAATTATCATATGGTTTCACTTATAAGTAGAACATAAGATATAGCATGAAAGACGTTAGGAGAAGGAAGGGAAAATCAGAGGGGGAGATGAACCATGAAAGGCTATGGACTCTGGGAATCAAACCAAGAGTTTTAGAAGGGAGGGGGGTGGGGGAGTGGGTTAGCCTGGTGATGGGTATTAAGGAGGGCACGTATTGCATGGAGCACTGGGTGTTATATGCAAACAATGAATCATGGAACTCTACATCAAAAACTAATAATGTACTGTATGGTGACTAACATAATAATTATATATATATAGAGAGAGAGCACAAAGTATAAGGCATGACATATTCCAACTCT